TATAGAATATATTCAGGAATATGAAATATAGATGCTGAAACCACAATAACTATATGCAAATTGTATTATTATCTGCACTATTTTTGTTACTTACTATTATTACTACTACTACTACTACTACTACTGTACTTGCTACTATTTATCGTAATTTGCATCACAATGTGTTACGAATTTTTTTCTCTATTCTAGTCATTTAATTACTAACAATTATCAGATAAAATTAATTTAATGTTCTTTCAACATCACAGGATGTGATAGAGAAGCATACATCTGCTTTTTTCAATATCGTGCTGATACATCATCTAGACTTGCAGTCGTTTCATCACTTAAGATGTTACTAAATTTGAAAATATTCCAAATCCAAGATTTATTTTTGGGAGATGTTTATATTTTTCTTTTACTTTTTCTCTACAAGAAGTGAACTTGGTATAGCATAGTAATCAAATTTGAAACTACGTGAATTGAATCATTTAACTTTCATGTGTTCGAGTCTAATTTCATTATAGCATCTGGTCAAATGCTGAAGTCCAAGCACCAATGAAAGCCAAGTCGTCAAGAAGATTTTCATCCTTGAAAATATCTTGTGTTGCTCTAATACTGAGTTAGGAATTTAAAAAATAGTGTTTTTGGGAGATTTCTTTCTCAAAATTTTTAATAAAGTGCTTTTCTTTTTTCAGCCGATGTTCCTTTATTTGAAAAATCAGGCTTTGTATTACTAAATGTACTTTTTTCATTTAAAAGTATGCAAAAATGTGTAAGTTATGGCAGCTCTCATGAGTGCTTTCCGAAAAAAACATACTTCGCGGTGATCACCTTCATTCGGTTATCTGAAATCATGTGTACGAAAAATATTTCTTTAGTTGATAGTCTAAAGTCCTTGAACGAGAGAGAGAGAGAGAGAGAGAGAGAAGGATTTTTCGAAATATTGATTTTCGACAAGATGGCACGCGCTCAAAGTGAAAGTTTTAATTTTTTATGAAAAACAGATATTTTTTAGACTATAAAAACCAAAATACTAAACAGAAAAAAATCCTCCGTTTAAGGACAAGTTTTTTTTATGTAAAAAAGGCTGCAAAAATTTCGTCCAAATCGATGCAGTACTTTCTGATACATCGTGACCACCGATATTAAAAATACAGTTTCGAGAAAAAGGTGTTTAAAGTTTAACTTATGTTTATTATTCACTCATATTATTCAATCACATGGAATATCCAGGCTCATATTGGTCATCTTTTGCTGAAACACTAGCCTCCAAAACATTTATCTATTGTTGACAAATACAAGTCCACATGTATTGTCGGTTGGACATTTTATTTCTCCGTCACATACCTTACACTCCGCAAGCGTTGAAATTATTGCAATAGCTGTAACAAAACTGATCATTCGATAAATGAAAATTTAATTATCTCGTATAGAATTAAAGGCTCAGTTAATCTTAATTACCTGAATGAAACAATATGAAAGATAGTTACTTCTTTGGTAGTGTGAATATGTCTTGCGTAAAACATTGCCGCCTCTAATCATGTTCCCAATTTATTAGAATCTGATCAACCGAATATATATGAAATATGCAGAGATAAGACATATACAGAGTGTCATGAATTGGTAGTACAGCCGGATAGTGGCTGATTCTACGTTAAAAGAAGATGTGTCAAGTTCGCGTGGCTTGTAGTATGACGGGAAGTAGAATCGCCACTTGATTCCTATTCAATAGTATTATTTTTTCAGCCTAAGTTTTTTCGAGAAAACGAAGCTGTGAATAAAAAAAATTTAGTCTTTATTATCACTTATTTTTTCAAATAGAATCAACGCCTATCAGGTTGTACCACCAATTACACGACACCCTGTATATTGAAAAAATATGTAATACACAAAACATGTGCAATATGCAAAAATACTCTAATGATAAAACAAACTGTCCAAGTCACATAAATTTTTCTCTTTCGTATAAACATATGCATTTGCATAAACATCTGCAGTCTATTAATGAACTACAAAATACAACCCCTGACAAATAGTATTCTTTTAAAACGCAATATATTTTTTCAAACTGGTCTAAGCGACTTGAATCCTTCTTTAAGTGTTAAAGGTGACTAATTCACGATACAACGACTAGCATACTCTTTCTTAAATCTGCCATTACTTGAAATGACAACAAAAGATAAAACAACACTCGTTTATTAACTTCTTCATCTGAACCATGCGTTTTATACATCCCTGTAACTTATATACAAATTGAAAATTTTATTGAAATCGGTTGATGCATAGTCAAGTTACAACCACTGAAAATTAAAAAATTACCTGTTTTTGGTTTAAGTTCGTAAAAAACTGCGATTTTCACAATTTTCAATTGTTTGTAGCTCATAACAACGTCAACCAATTTCGATGAAATTTTCAATATGCATATAAGTTACCTAGATCTACGAAACTCATTTTTTAAATTTTCGTTCCAGGTACAAATAAAAAACAAGTGTTTCTTATTTTTTGTCTCATTCCAAACAATGCCAAAATTAACAAGAAGTATTTTATTCATTGCACATTAAACTAGTCTCTTGAACATTTAAAAGAAATTCAAATCATTTAGTGAAGTTTTAAAGAGGTTATTGCATTTTAAAAGGTGATCGAATACTTTTTTTCCAAGGGTTGTATTTATTTTATATGCATAAAAAATAATACGAATAAAATAATAAAGTGTGAGCATATACCTATTATGGTATAGTGTTTTCATACCACGACCCTGTATTTCATATTCAATGACCCTAATCGGGAACGATCTTTTGAAATATCTGTTCCAATTTAAAGACATTGAGTATGAAACACGGATGCCAACTGTTCCATAAATGAAAAATGAAAAAATTGAAGTACACAACGTGGAACAGTATGTTCATGCTTAAAACCACCTCTATTCGAATAAATATATTTTTTGTAGTTGATTGTTACCTAATTATATTTGCGTACGTGAATTTATAAAAGAGAAATATTCAAAAACATGAGTAGAATTTGTACATCCACTTTCGTATGTCTTATCTATTTTTTATTGTATTATTTGTGCTACTGTTTCAAATAGGGGTCACAATTGAGCGTTGTTTCACAACAGGTACTATAACTTTACCATCTAGTGTTTCATCCAATGAAAATAAGTCAGAAAATAAAAGTGTAAGATCTGTATACTTGACTATCTTAAAATGTTCATAACAGAACGTAGTTTGCAAAACTATATTCAATTTTAACTAAATAATAAATAATAAAAAAATCAATTTGTTATTAAAATTAAGACTAAAAATGTACCATTGAAGTACTTGCACTATTTCAAACACGAGTCCCTTGGAAGCTATTTGTTTTTTTAATTAGATTTTTACAGGGTGCGTTTAGTATTATAAGATCTTCGAACTGCAAAAAAGGTTTTTATGAAATAATCTAAATTTATCCTAATTTTGTATCTTTAACTTTTTTATTCTTTGATAAGA